ATCGTTAGATTCCTATACCCAAAAAAAAGCCCCTCCCCCATTGCCAATATACCTCTCTATTCCTACATTTCGTCCTATAAAAATGACACATCACGCCTTGACACGCATCGCAAACCCCCAAGCCCCCGCATACCCCATGACACATTAATAAATAGTCAAGTACCAAATATGACACAGAACGTCGTACAGCATCTGAGCAATCTCCCCTTTCAAGACTCAAAACTCTAAGCATCGACAAACCCCCCCCTCCCACCTTCGGAGAACCACCCTTGAACCAATCCTAACCTTTTGTAAAAATTCACAAATATAAAACATGAACGCCGTTTCCGGCCCACCCACACCACGCACAGGTTGATCCTGGGTCATTCCCATAATGTACAATTGTGCCCTTTGGACGGCCAAAATCCGAGGAGGAATCGGTAACCAGTTTCCTAACCCGTGGTTGTAAGCGCAATTTTCTTGAACCCCTGCCAAATAGTCTTCCTATTATATCCTGGGAAAACCTCAAACAAACCCATGACTTCGCCGATGTTATACCTATATTATCTAGTTTACCCCGCCTTAACTCTCACAGGGTTTTGCACCATCAATAAGTGCCGTAACATTGCTTCGCACCTGTGGAGGTCCCTCCCACACCCACCATCGTCGAACCTCCCTCATCACTGCATCAACTCTCACCCCCTTACCACCCTTGTTAGGGTTATTCCTGTCGTACATAATGCCATTAGTCGACTGTTATGTGGTTATTAGCCCAAACCTCCTCGAGTTACAATGCGTCATAACTATGTTTTCCCTATACCAATGCCTACGGTAACCCCATATGAAACCAAAGCCTTCCTCTGTAACCGCAACGCTCGTCCGTCATCAATGATAACCGCTGAAACACACCATAATTTAGCTATACACCAGTACGTTGAGCAACTATTACTCTTTGTGTAAATTACATCACCTGGTCTCCATCCCGCCATCCCCTACTACCTTACGAATTGCAGCTGTAACTACAATGGATGAAATTAAATGCACGCGCATGCCTTGTTCGTCATTGCAAAAAATGCACACCACAGATCTTTATCTGCTCAACGGTTCTCCACCCATACTCCGTACCTAACGTCCCGCCCACTTCCATGACCCCAACCTCCAAAAGTTTGGAATTTTCTCTATTAATGCGGCATGGAAGACGCCATCACTAAAAAACCTTATACCTTATTATGAACGATAAAACAAACCATTCCTACTTGCACCAAGATGGTGGTGTCCCACATATACCTAAAATTTCACTGCATCCGAGCAAATCCCCATTTCAAGAGCTCAAAAACTCTAAGAAGCACGACAAACCCCCCCCTCCCCACACTTCGGAAGGACACCCTTGAACCAATCCCAAACCTTAAGTAAACTGTCACAAAATTAATACGACATGAAACTCCGTTTCCGGCCACCGCACACCACGCACAGGTCTGATCCCTGGTCATCCATAATGTACAAATGTGCCTTTGACGCCAAAAATCCACGAGTAGGAATCGTAACCATTTCCCTAACCCCGTGGTTGTAAGCGCAATCTTGAACCCCTGCCATATAGTCCTTCCTATTATATCCTGGGAAAACCTCAGCACCAGGTTGACTTCCGCCGATGTTATACTATATTATCTAGTTTACCTGCCTTGAACTCTCACAGGGATTTTGCACCATCAATAGTGCCATAACAGTTGCTTCGCACCTTGTGAGGTCCTTCCCTCCCCACCCACCATCGTCTAACCTCCTCATCACTGCATCAATCACACTCTCCCTGACCCCACCGCCCTTGTTAGGTATCCTGTCGTACATATATGCCCCATTAGGTCGACTGTGAAGTGGTATTAGCCCCAAACCTCATCGAGTTACCGTGCGTCAAAAACTATGTCTTTCCCTAACCCAATGCCTACGGTAACCCCGATCTGAAATCCAACCTCCTCTGTAAACCGCAACGCATCGTCCGTCATCAATGATAAGACCGCTGAACAAACTCATAATTTACTATACACAGTACGTTGACAACTATTTACTCTTTGGTGTAATGTTACATCACTCTGGTCTCCATCCCGCCATGCTCCTACGAATTGCAGCTGTAACTACAAAGGATGAATTAAATGCCGCACCGCTGCCTGTTCGCTTTGCAAAAAGCACACCACCACAGAATCTTTAAACTGCTCAAACGTTTCTCCACCCATACTCCGTAACCTACGTCCTGCCCACCAGGACCCCACCTCCAAAAGTTTTGTATTTTTCTCTATTAATGCGCATGGAAGACGCATCAGCTACAAAACCTTATAACCAATTTATGAACGCTAAACCATTTCCTACTATGCACGCAAGAATGGTTGTGTCGTCCACATAACCTAAAATTTCTACTGCTTCTTCCTGTGCACAATCCTCCCCCCCCCACCCCACCCATTAACATCTATAAAAGGGGTCCTGCAAACAGGCAAACAAAAGCTGCAGAGGGACACCCCTGCCGCAGCCCCACCCCATGCCTATCGCGGACCCCCACCCTCATTAACCTGGACTCGTACCTGTGCCTCCGAAATAACAAAACGGTACCCACGCTACTATTTTCTTCCCCGAAACCCTGCTTCAATAATATAGCTAATAATGTTTCCCTATCCACATTGTCAAAACCTTTTCAATCAATCCTACGACTCCGCCTCCACTACAATTCTTTCACAAACTTTTGAGGCGTCGATGCCCATCTCTCATAGATCGGCCAGGAATCCCGTATTGCCCTTCCCTATTACCTTGTCCAAAACTCGTTTCATCCGTTTGCCAAAATACCGCGCAAAAATCTTATAATCAGCCCCCATCAATATGATGGGCCTATATGCCTCCAAAGATTCACAGACCTCGGCTTTGTACCATACTACAACACCCAACCCGCTTCACCGCCCATCCACCTCTATTTTCTTGAATTGTAAAGTCGACCAACATGTGTTTAACAGTTCCCAATGAACACATAAAAATCAACTGGTTATCCCATCCAAACCAGGTGATTTTCCTCATTGCCTGTCACCCCTGAAACAGCCTTGAAACCTCTCCTCCGATATACAACCCTCCATGTCCTCTCGAACCACGACTCCACATTTGCCACTATGGCACGCAGTAAAGCTTCCCTCGCCTCACGATTCCCCTCTCTACCTTCCATTTTCCTCTCAAACCATAGTCTGCATAGGTTCCCAATGCTCTTAGTATAAATACCTTTGTCCCTTTATGATAACGCACCCAAGTCATTCCACCGACCACTACTGAACAAAAAAAACCCCCTGTCGTCGCCATCCGTCGCATTCTGAAACTACGCAGAACCCCCAACTAGGTTTATATCCCCCCAAAGCACCTCCTCAAATCCAGCTCGTCACCCTCAAAAGCCTGAAATATATCATTCTGAATTTTCCTCCCGTAAAAGAAAGACTATGTTAGACACTCTATTTCTGCTAGTCCTACCTCCCGCCTACCATAACAATCCCTCAGCTGTCCCTCTAAAATATTTTTGCTTCCCATATCTATAACACGCCTCCTCCCTTCCCAAACCGTCATAAAAACCCTGTAGTGCATGTTTCGCCTATGGAATGCCACCACTCAACAACATCCTCTATCCCTATTTCCCGATATTCCAGAAGTCAACCCACCATAACCTGAAAAAACTGTCCCCCCCCACAGCATCGACACCTTGCAACAAGCTGACATATAATTCCAAATAACTAGTAAATACACGGATAGCGCCCTCGCACTCCAGTGTTACCAGAACACCAACGGTGATCTGAAAAACCCAGATCAACACAATCGACCCGCCACCACGGATTAAGTTGGTGATATAAACCCCGTCCAACCGCGCAGCGAACCCCTTCTACAAAACTTATGTTCCACATTCCACCCGTCGCTACCCACAAACATCCACTACACCAATCGCTTGCAATACCTCACTAAACCCTTAAAATTACATCCCCCACCACGCGGTTTCGACGGGAGGGGGGTCTATTTTCCCGGATCACACAACTCCAATCACCTCCACGACCGAAACTAAGGTAAACTTCTGAGAAAATGAAACCCAAAACATCGCGTACAAAATCCTCTTTTAACTCGTCGATTTGTTGTCGCTCATAAATACTCCCACGAAAACCCACCTGAATGTTCCCCACAAACCCACCACACGCACAACACGCCGGCCCCTCCCGCCCCACTTCCCAGCTACAAGCTTTAAAAGGCTGGTCACCCTTATGCCTATCACAACCCCACCTTGAGATTATCCGAATTTCCCCGCATAGCACTGTCTCCTTTCACACGTATTCACTACCACACTCGAAAATTGTGTTCGCTGTATAAAAAAAACGTCAACATTCATACTCTGTCCGATACTCTACCAACTCCTCTTGGACCTCTGCTCTGGAGTCCATTGACATTCATTGTTATACACTTGAACTCTCTGGTGTAGGTTATCTCATTTCGTTTTCCCCCATCACCTTTATACCTGACTGGACTTGCCCTGCTGCACCTGCCCGTATCCCCACACTCCCACTTAACTTCTCTAAGGGGGGTCCCTTAACACCCTTGATTCTACGTCAGCCACAACCCAATTTTTACCAGACCTTTGACCCGTGATAAGACATCGTCCCTCCACGTGTGTACTGGCCTCTTTCGCCACACTCCCTCATAGTCCATAGCCCATCGCGTCTCTTTCAATGTACCTCGACCAACCCGTCACCACCACAGACGTAAAATCCGTACGCCTATCTTCACCGCCCACACGTCCCGCTAGCCATGGTCGACCACAGGCGACATACCGCTAATGAAGGCGTAAACCCACTGTCGCCGGTCTAGTATCGAGGATCCCTTAAGTCCTTCAAAACCGGGCAATAATCAAGGCGTTTGTGCCTCCTCTTCCACCTGAGGTGAAGCACTGTCCACGCACCAAAACGCCTTGAGCGATCTCCGACGCTGGTGGTAGCGTCGAGACGATCCCTCTGCAGCCCATTGCTTCACTCCACTTTACATCCGCTGGTAAAATCTGGCACGCGGTTGTCCACCATTGTGGGCTTCTGATGGCCCAGCTCACCCTCCTCCATCGATCTTTGGATGCCAGTGTCTACCAGTCCCGACCGTTGTTTCCCTCGTCGTTGCTCACAAGAACGAGCCGCCAATACCCGTTGCACCACACAGGCGCACGCTCCGAACCTGGCCCGGTAGGTTACGTAACCTGCGTCTGAAAATCTTCCAACATGACAAACGAGGGAATTGATGTCTCAATGTTATTTTCATAGAAGAAGGAACCGCGAGCATCACCAGAATAAAAACCCTGGGACCAACTCCCAATTGGACAGCTTGTACGGGCCATAGCGCCCAAAAGTCCGTAGCTGATGTCCACGCTCGTCAGCCTCGAAGGGGATATTACTAGACAAACCCACGTATAACTTTTGCGATACATCACGCAGGCGCACCTCCAGACTAGCGTTGATAACAAATCCGTTTTTCTTGAAAGGCATCCCACAACACTCACAAACCAGCAACGACACAAATTTTCACAAAATTCTTGCGTTTGCCGTTCAGAGAAAATCCCATAAAATCCTCAGGTGGGATTCATTACGTACACTTATCACAAGAGGCAGAATGACGACAGCGGTGTCCAGGTATATGGCACCTTTCAATAATTCCACACAGACAGTGTTGACTCTTTTCCTGCGTTCCGCCATCTTGAGAAAACAAAACTTCTCAATACAGACACCAGAGGGCACCAGCCGCACGCTCTGCGTCCGCCCTCACCAACAGCTGGGTGAGAACTATGGAAGTTTTAATGTACTCAACTCAGACAAAGTCAGAGTATCAATTAACTGTTTCACTTTGGCATACATCACGAAAATAAGTTTACTACTACGAGAGTGATTACGGGAAACTATAATCTTGATAGAAACTTTAGTGTTAGTTGTCTTAGAGCTAGAACTCATAAACAGTATTTCCATCTCCTTGGATCAAGAGACTCAGTCAGGTACATACATCCACCTGGTATGTTGCACAAGACTGGAAAGCACTCAAAGTGTTTGAACTTGCACACGAAAATCACTCACTACGAAAGCAAAAGACTTGGCAGACGATGCACCATCCCCCCAATGAAAAGCAGGGGTGTCACTAGCACGTTAAGAGACCATACAATAAGTGTCAGGGGCCCGAGACTGTTCAACTGCCTCCCAGCACACATAAGGGGGATTACCAACAGACCCCTGGCAGTCTTCAAGCTGGCACTGGACAAGCACCTAAAGTCAGTTCCTGATCAGCCGGGCTGTGGCCCCGTACGTTGGTTTGCGTGCAGCCAGCAGCAACAGCCTGGTTGATCAGGCGCTGATCCACCAGGAGGCCTGGTCACAGACCGGGCCGCGGGGCGTTGACCCCCGAAACTCTCTCCAGGTAAACTCCAGGTAAATAGTTGCTAGTATGTCAAACTGGACAATTTCTCCAACACCTTGGATCAAGAGCCTCCAGGACAGGCCCCCATTTGTTACAAAAAACGCGATTCTAAAAGCTTAGAGATCTCCAGTGAATACTAGAAAGGACTGCCCTTCTAGCATCCAGCCTGTTATTGGGTTTTCGTAACAAGTAGTCAATATCCTTGTCCAATTATCCATTAGAATTCAGTATGATTCAATAGTGCTTCAGGATTACAACTGGTAGGCTACTAACTAGAGAAATTAAAATTTAATAAATTTATTAAGTCTAGAGGTATATTATCAAATTAAATTAAATTAAATTAATCACAGTAATCAAAATAATATCACAACTCTCGAGTACAATATTATTGTGCTGAAAGCACATATCACATTTATAATTCTTAAGTACCGTCTGGTACATTAACATTTAATAAGATATTACAAATATGTACAAGTTAGTGTATGTGTGTAAGTGCTCTAAGTAGTTCTCTGTCTCACGACTCGACTAGACTTAAACAAGTGACTGACAAAGTCCTCACATCAACTAACTTCTTGACCGACTGGCAACCAGAACAGTCTGCTTGAACAATAAAAAGAATGGTAAGCCCAACAGCAATACAACAAGCAACTGCAACACAATCAGGATCAAGGAGATAATATAACGACACTAAGTAGGGACCATCATCAGATCCTCCACGAAAGTCATAAAACTCCTATAATACTGAATCTAAGTTCAGCATAAGAAAATCACTGACTGTGATAATACACAGATACCAGTACAACGTTAGGTCAGAAGTTACAGCTCAGGACCTGAGATGCTCAAAGTGTCTATGCAACACACAACCTCAGTACAACGTCGAAAATCACTGTCTATACAAGGTTCTGTGAACAGAGTTCCTGGAGTTTACCTGGAGAGAGTTCCGGGGGTCAACGCCCCCGCGGCCCGGTCTGTGACCAGGCCTCCTGGTGGATCAGAGCCTGATCAACCAGGCTGTTACTGCTGGCTGCACGCAAACCAACATATGAGCCACAGCATGGCTGATCAGGAACCGACTTTAGGTGCTTGTCCAGTGCCAGCTTGAAGACTGCCAGGGGTCTGTTGGTAATCCCCCTTATGTATGCTGGGAGGCAGTTGAACAGTCTCGGGCCCCTGACACCTATTGTATGGTCTCTTAACGTGCTAGGACACCCCTGCTTTTCATTGGGGGGATGTTGCATCGTCTGCCAAGTCTTTTCCTTTCGTAGTGAGTGATTTTCGTGTGCAAGTTCGGTACTAGTCCCTCTAGGATTTCCCAGGTGAATATAATCATGTGAACATTAAAATGGTAAAAAATACCGACAGATTGTTAGGTAAGACACATATGCAACAGTTAGGTATCTTTATTTCGAAACGTTTCGCCTACACAGTAGGCTTCTTCAGTCGAGTACAGAAAAGTTGATAGAAGCAGAAGATACTTGAAGACGATGTAATCAGTCCATCAACCTTAAAGTTTTGAGGGGGCATCCCTCATTCTGGAGAAAAGAAATTCCCTTTGGTTTTTTCCCCTGGAGAATTTCCCCGGGGGTCAACGCCCCCGGGGCCCCGGGTCTTTAAACCAGGCTCCTGGGGGATCAGAGCCTAAACAACCAGGCTTTTGGGTTTGCTGGCTGCACGAAAACCAACGTACGGGGCCACACCCCGGGCTGTTTCCGGAATTTGACTTTAGGTGCTTGTCCAGTGCCACCCTTTGAAGACGGCCAGGGCCCGTTGGTAATCCCCCTTATTTTTTGGCTGGGGGCGTTGAAAGTCACGGCCCCTGACACTTATTGTATGGTTCTTAACGTGCAAATGACCCCCCTGCTTTTCTTTGGGGGAGGGGTGCATCGCCCTGCCAAGTTTTTTGCTTTCGTATGAGTGATTCTCGTGTGCAATTTCGGTACTATCCCTCTATATTTTCCAGGTGTAAAAAAATCATGTATCTCTCCCTCCGCGTTCCGGGGAAATACGGGTTTTGGAAACCCCAAAGCGCCCCCCAAAATTGAGGTGTTTTATCTCCGTTTGCGGCCGTGAAAGTTCCTGTACTTTTTCCCTAGGTCGGGAAATTTTCACCTGCCTTGAAAGGACTTTTTAGTGTGCACAATATTCCACCCTGGGTAGAACAAGTGCCTGAAAAGTGTCATCATGGGCCCTTTGGGCCCCCCTAGTTTTGAAGGGTTTTCATTATCCAAACCTGTTTATTTTTTTTTAGCAGAGCGATTGATACAATGTTAAAGGTCCCCGAAGGTGAGAACCCCACATGATTTACCCCCCAGGGGCTTTTACGGGTTTGGGGTTTTGCTCAAATTTTTTGGGGCCCGAATTTTGTTTTTACTCTGATGAAGATTTAATTTTTCCCCATGTTTACCATATCTGAGTAATTTAAATTTCTCATCGTTGAACTTCTATTGTTTTCTGCAGCCCACTGAAAGATTTGGTTGATGTCCGCTGGAGCTTTGCAGTGTCTGCAATGGAAGACACTGTCATGCAGATTCGGGTGTCATCTGCAAAGGAAGACACGGTGCTGTTGCTGACATCCTTGTCTATGTCGGATATGAGGATGAGGAACAAGATGGGAGCGAGTACTGTGCCTTGTGGAACAGAGCTTTTCACCGTAGCTGCCTCGGACTTTACTCTGTTGACGACTACTCTCTGTGTTCTGTTAGTGAGGAAATTATAGATCCATCGACCGACTTTTCCTGTTATTCCTTTAGCACGCATTTTGTGCGCTATTACGCCATGGTCACACTTGTCGAAGGCTTTTGCAAAGTCTGTATATATTACATCTGCATTCTTTTTGTCTTCTAGTGCATTTAGGACCTTGTCGTAGTGATCCAATAGTTGAGACAGACAAGAGCGACCTGTTCTAAACCCATGTTGCCCTGGGTTGTGTAACTGATGGGTTTCTAGATGGGTGGTGATCTTGCTTCTTAGGACCCTTTCAAAGACTTTTATGATATGGGATGTCAGTGCTATTGGTCTGTAGTTCTTTGCTGTTGCTTTACTGCCCCTTTGTGGAGTGGGGGCTATGTCTGTTGTTTTTAGTAACTGTGGGACGACCCCCGTGTCCATGCTCCCTCTCCATAGGATGGAAAAAGGCTCGTGATAGGGGCTTCTTGCAGTTCTTGATGAACACAGAGTTCCATGAGTCTGGCCCTGGGGCAGAGTGCATGGGCATGTCATTTATCGCCTGTTCGAAGTCATTTGGCGTCAGGATAACATCGGGTAGGCTTGTGTTCATCAAATTTGTGGCTCTCTCATAAAAAATTCATTTTGACTTCAACTCTCAGTCTGGTTAGCGGCTTGCTAAAAACTGAGTCATATTGGGACTTGAGTAGTTCACTCATTTCCTTGCTGTCATCCGTGTAGGACCCATCTTGTTTAAGTAGGGGCCCAATACTGGACGTTGTTCTCGATTTTGATTTGGCATAGGAGAAGAAATACTTTGGGGTTTCTTTCGATTTCATTTATGGCTTTTAGTTCTTCCCGCGATTCCTGACTCCTAAAGGATTCTTTTAGCTTAAGTTCGATGCTTGCTATTTCTCTGACCAGTGTCTCCCTACGCATTTCAGATATATTGACCTCTTTTAGCCGCTCTGTTATTCTTTTCCGTCGCCTGTAGAGGGAGCGCCTGTCTCTTTCTGTTTTACATCTACTCCTCCTTTCTAAGAGGAATAAGCCTTGTGCATACATCGAGTGCCACCGAGTTAATCTGTTCTAGCATAAGTTGGGGTCTGTGTGCTTAGTATATCTTCCCACTTA